CTTGCGCGGGGTTTCGAAGCGTTTTTTTTTTTTTTCTGCAATAGAAAACAACAATGCCCCCCAAAAAAATATGGGCGTGTAGGGTTTTTTAAACACTACACGCCCATTTTTTTTTTTTTTTTTGTCTGCTAAAATATAAGAAAAAAATTGCTGCACCAAAGTTGGTTGGTCGGCCGTGGTCGAACCCGGCCGATTTGGCCGACGGCCGTGGCCGCGACCGAGTTTTCACCGTCGGCCGTGACCGGGCATGCAACATAGCCTGGGACAACTCTGCCGACAGTGGGCAATCTCTGAAGGACGCAGACAACAGTGACGAGGACGATCCAATAATTCAAGAAATGGCGCAACAACGTATTTATTACCCTGTGCAACAAGCGAATACAAAATCACTATGCCTGATTGAGAAGAGTCTACAAAGGACGCAAGTCATGATTATGGGTGAACCTCTCGTACAGATTTCGAGGATGGTTGATTCTTTGGAACCCCCCCGAACCCTGTACGAAGGAATCTCCTCTTTACTCGCACAATATAATGACAAAAGACACTATTGCGATATCACAGATCTCCTACGATCTCTCCTGTCACCTGCAAAAGATGTACGATTAATACGCTTAGGGGCGGTGACCAATTCTTTGGAACCCCCTGAGCGCCACGAAACTGGACTTGGAATCAAAATCGCAACGAAACCCGTGCCATGGCAGGACATCCGAGACGGAATAACGCCGGAAGAACACGTGGCCATTCCCGAAGAGAACGCAGAGATGATGGTCAAGGTATTCTCCTGGGGATCGGATAATTCGTTTATTTCCGTGGCCCTACCCGAAAGTGCCAAGCGGATAAGCACGAAACAGATCGATGTACGGATATGGGACCAACTGTATGAGTTGCACGTGCCCCAATACGTGCCTGGTGAGATCCATCACCTAATCGCGGAAATTCTAAAAGAATACAAAGGAGCGATTAGTACGATGGACACAAACACTGGACTGTCGTTAGTCATACAGCACGAGATTCAAACCGGAAACCATTCCTCGATTCACTGTAAGCCCTACAGATACTCCCTGGTAGAACGGAAAACGGCCCTTGAGTAGATTCGGGAATTCGAAGCTAATAGTTGGATCGAACCGGCCACTGCGCCATGGTCATTCCCCGTAGTATTAGTGCCGAAAAGCTTGTGGTGGATAGGTTGAGGGCACTCCAGCACCCGCACTTGTTGACGCTTCTAGGAGTCTGCTATGAAGGGAACTGCCTTGTCTATGAGCACATGGCAAATGGGAGTGTGGAGGAGAGGATCTCCTGCAGACGGATGCCCACAGGGGGCTTCCTTCCATGGTATGTTCGCTTGCGTGTCATCGCACAGGTTGCCCGAGCCGTGTTCTTTCTCCACTCCACTCTGTCGGCGACAGGTCGTGCCATCATCCACCGCGCAATCAAGCCGTCTAACATCTTTCTGGACGACAAGCTTGTGGCCAAGCTCGGTGCTGTCGATCAGGCTTTAATCCACCAAGAGTTTGCTGAAGGATCCCAAGCCGTAGGAAAGTCGATGTCAGCTTTCCTAGATAGCAATTCTCAGTACATGGCCCCTGAGTACTGGCGATCCAGGACTTTGGATGAGAAGACCGATGTTTATGCGTTTGGCATTACAGTCTTGGAGATCCTTGTTGGGAAAACCTCGGATGCTTATGAAACAATTGAGGCAGCAGTGGAAGATGATGTGTCCTTTCAGGATGCTCTGGACCGTAACGCAGGCCACTGGGACGTGGCGTTGGCGAAACGAGTGGCACACTTGGGACTGCAGTGTGCCAGCCACCCTAGGCGGCATAGGCCAAACATGGGAACAGGCGATCAGAGCGTTCTTGCGGTTTTAGAGGAAGTTGCTGACAAAGTACAGCTTGCTGATGCAGTAGAATCCAGGGGATAGTGTTTATTTTGGGGAGAAACTATCCGGGAGTCACAAAAATGAGTTACTATTGCACTACGGGCCAAGATACAGTTTCGAATTGCAGTTCGGGCAACGTCTGCAACCCAGCTCTCTGGCCAGGTAGGGTGCCCCAAGTGCAATTGCAAACTGTATCTTGCCCCATAGTGCAATTATGACTGGTTTTTGTGACTCTACTGAAGTTACCCCTTTTTTTTTTTTTTTTTTTTTTTTGGTTGAAAAACATGGCGGACGGGGCAGGTTTTGAGTTCGCAAAGGCAAGAAAAAAAACACGCACCCGCAAAGATATCACAGTTTGCAATGACACCCTGCCTGGGCCGGCCTTTGGGGTAGAATTTCCGTAGACAAGAATCTGTGGGGCATTTTATTAAATTTTCTTTTCTTTCCCAGTCTGACACCACGGCCACGGCCGACCATTGTAATGACACCCTGCCTGACACCACCGTAGTTGGTACTTCCATTGCTTTTTCAAACTCGGTGCCTGTTTTCTTTCCTGGCACGTATTTTTTTTGCTCATTTGATACTTCCATAGTAATGTCAGAATAAGGGAGCGTTGTGTTCGGGGGAACACAGTAGGAAAGATTCAAGTCGCCCCTATGGATAAATTAATGGCCAAGAGGGATCTTCTTCTGATAAGGGGTGATAGATGCAAAGGAATTTACCCAGTTCTGTTATCTGGTAGATTGAGGGAGTCTTGGAAATATGGATCGCTGGCTGGAGCAGCGACACACAGTAGGATGGATTCAAGTCCCCCCTGAGGATACATTAATGGCCAAGAGGGGTCTTCTTCTCATAAGGGGTGATATATGCACAGGAATTTACTCAGTTCTGTTATCTGGTAGATTGAGGGAGTCTTGGAAATATGGATTGCTCGCTGGAGTAGCAACACACACTACGATGATAACGAGGAGGTCTCTTGCTCAGATATTTGGTAAGCGGTAATGCCAGCCTAGCGAAGATCTTTTTCTTTCTTCACAGCAATTTGCTTCTCGTATAGACGAAGTAGAGCTGTAGAAGAAATGTTAACAAACAATCACATTTGGAAACAAGGACTTGTAGATATTATTGGTACTGTTCGATTCTAACAACAGGCTATGGATTGGGGACAGGTGTATGTTAGATAACCTTGCGGATCCCCAAAATCTCTATCCTGCTCCTGCTGCTGGTTCCCCCCCCCCAGTTCAGAGTCTCTTATCTGTTAGCTAGTTGCCACTCATACAGCTTGTCTGTGTTGTTTGCTGCTTTCTCTAGTAAGCCCTCATTGCGACTCATGCGTCTTCTCCAGGTTGTTGGAACTGCCTGTTAGTTAACATTGAAATTGAAATATTTTGCTGGCGTGACGAAATTGAGCTTCAAATGGTGTGTTGTGAATTTACCATATCCTCCAATGAGTAAAATGACCATGTTGTGGTTTAATTACCCTCCAATGAACATAATAGCTCTAACGGTACTGAGCCCGAGATACATCCAGAATCTGGCCCAAATCACTGGAAAAAAGAACATTAAAAAAAAATAGATATCGTCACGCCAGCAAAATATTTCGATTTGAAAGAAAAGGCAGGTTTTGGTGGAAATTGGTGCTTCTCATTTCATTTGTGCATAGTCGTCTCTGATTTCGTTGATTCTGTTTCATGAGCAACGAAATCCTTACTGATTATCGATCTGATTGCTGGCTAATGAGATCGTTCGAGATGAATCATCTTTTTTTCTTTTTTTTTTAATGGAACATTACCCTGGGTGGTTTAAAGTGCAGAAAGTCCAAGTCAAGGCGCTTCATCTAGGGGACAGATTACTTGGGGATAATTGGTGGAAAGCGCCCACGCCAGTGCCGTGAACGTGACCCGCACCGGTCACGTGAACATGACGGGCCGGTCATATACCCCTGCGCCCGTGAACGGCCGCTCACGGTGACCGGCCAAACCATGAAAGCGCCGTGTTCCTTTCTTTTTTTTTTTTCTTTTTTTTTCTTGGCTCACCCTGCTACCTTTGCCACAAGCCCCACATCGCAATGACATAAAAAAAAATTAAGAAATCGAAATGACCTACAAAACAACAAACAAAAAAGCTTATCATGGCTGGTTCCGTGATTTTTTTTACATTTTTTTCGCGATGAGTCTCCTAGGCTACCAGCCGGGCCGCCCGGGTCCCGGGTGGCCAGCCCGTGCAAGGACCAGGGAAGGTCCCAACAAAAAAAAACAAATACAAAAACAAATTCCAAAAAATCCGAAACAAAACTATGTTATGCAGAAAAATAAACTGAAGAACTTTTGCCTCAGGGTCACATCGAAATTCGTCACCAAATTTAAAATAAAAAATAAATTTTAAAAATATTGTTTTATTTGTATTTTTCTTGGCCCGGCCGGGCAAGTGACCCCGGTCCCCGGGCCACTCTGGTAGCCTAGGCGATGACATTAAAAAAAATAAAAAAATGGAAATAACCTACAAAACAACAAACAAAAAAGCTTATCATGGCTGGTTCCGTGATTTTTTTTACATTTTTTTAATTCAAAACAAATATTATTTGTGAACGCCAAAAAGGAAGAGATTATTGGGGGGTACCCTCTGATGACCTTCACGCTCCTTAAAAAAAAAAAAAAAAAAAAAAAGACGTTCACGCTCTACGTGAACTCCATGAACTACGACCCGTCATGATTTTCGTGACTGGTGACAGGACCCCGTGAACGGTGAACGGTGGAAGGCACTGGCCCCCGCCAAAACCTTTTCAGTTGTATGCGCCCGAAGTTTGGCCTTTTGGTACTACCGGCCGAAACTTCGTCCCCCTGGGTGAAAGGCGCCTTGGTGCGATGGCCACAAGCTCCCACAACTCTGGACAATGAATCTGGCACTGTTTTTGGGCCAGATTCATGAAGCGGTAGGTCCCTTCTTTTTCAAAATACCGTGCTTGGGCCTCGTTCTATCCTTCAGGGTACCACCCTCAGCCTCTTCTACATCTGAATGAATCTTTCATGATCCGGTAGCCAGGCGTGGGCCCGTAGTACCCCACATGGAAAAGTTTGGGCATGTTCTACCAAACAGCCAAACTTCGGGGGCCCGAAACCGAAAAGGTTTTGGCGTGGGCGCCTTCCTCCAGTTATCCCTATTACTTGGGTCTCCGGGGGTAATGGCTTGGGTGATCAGTTTACAAAGGACTTTGCCATTGTGGTACAGCAGAAACCTGTGAGCCTTTGGCTCAGGATGTAATCTGTGACAAGCGATGAGGGACTGCGGCTCCCTAGCAATACAATAGACATATCAGATAGCAGCCACCTGCTAATTATGGGAGATGCTCATAGTACCAACCCCATTAGCAGGACCCACCCAGAGTAATTAATATAGGAATTAATAGAATTATCACCTTATGGATTGACCATTCCACTCTTTACATCTCTGATAGATCAGTTAATGACAACCCGGCTTTGATTGTTTACAGCTTTCAAATTGAGTATCGTGGTTGTGTGTATTTGTGTGTGCCCAGAGGCTATGTATGTTTGTATGAGCCTATAGGGCCATGTTTTTTGTGTCTGCCCGAAGGCTATGTGTTCTCTGTGTGTAACTGTATAGTGACATGTATGTGCCTGAAGGCCAGATATGTGCAGTACTATGTAGAGGGAACTATGTGTTCGTTTGAAGAGATAACGGGCCAAGCTGGACAAGAACCCCCCCCAAAGTCCCAAGCCAGACTCGAACCCGTGATCTATGACATGTGACCTGAAGACTACCATTGAGCAACAATCACAAACGACCCCTGTGTGTGATATGCCAGACTGAGATCAACAGAACAACCACCAGCAACAGCCACAAGCAACCCACGCAGTGTCAAGGCCTGACATACAACACCAAGGACAACCCTTGGGTGGTGCGCAGGCATTCTGTATTAGCTTACCATGTGTCAGCCCAAGGGGCTGTGTGTCCAGCTGTGCGTCATTCTAACGCCCTGCGGGTGTCCATGCGCAAGGCTGCGATTGAGTTTTGAACCCACAACCGCAAGGGTGTGTGTGTTCAGCTGTGCGTCATTCTAATGCCCTGCGGGTGTCCATGCACGAGGCTGCGATTGAGTTTTGAACCCACAACCTCATTCCACAGTGCGCATTTTCAACCGGTGCTCTAACCACTGAGCTACATCTTTTCTTTTTTTTTCCAAAGGAAGACCCTTGTGCCAGGCCTCTATCCCAGTGGTGGTAAGAGAACCACCTGGATTGAGGCTTTGCCTAGTGGGCTGCTCCATCTATTGGTGGGGAGCGTTACCTGCTGGAAACGGGGTCCAGCGTCCCATAAATACATCCTTGACTGGACAACCTTTCCTTTTTCGCTTTTTTTTTTCCGTTTTTTGGCTTCCTAAAAGGGCGGGGAGAGCCCCTGTCGAGCTCATGCCTTGTTCGTTGTTCACAGAAACAGTTGCGTGTGTGTACCATCCACCCATACATGCGGGGGTTAACGTGCACCTCTAAATGCGCCCCCCAACAGAGGAACTTCCTCTTGACACTTGTACCTTCTGGCAGCTTCGTTTGACGTGGATTTTTTTTTCTTGGGGTAACCGTTTTGAAAAAGGGATGAAGTCCCTACCGTTATTGGATCCCTCTACGAAGTAGGGGTCCAGCTCATGACCAGATGATCGAAGAGCTGTTGCACGTGTGTAGTACTGTGTACCATTCAGCCACATACGCTGTAGAAAGTGCACCTGTACGTATCTCCCATACCTGTACAACGTGCACCTGTACGGGAGGGAAAAAAAAAAAAACATGCACTTGTACCTTCCTCGCAGCTTCCTATTCTTTTCTGTTTTTTTTTTTTTTTTTTTTTTTTGGGAAAATTTGTCTGGCGCACCTGTATTTTCCATTAATTTGCATCGCCCCCTCCGACAGCCGACTTTAAGTTACCCTGTCGCGCCCCTCTGACCAGGAGTCAAACTTTCCATAAAACCCTGGTGTCCTTTGGGCCTCATATGTTTTCGTAGTGCCCCTACCGGACCCACATCCAATTTGCATCACGCCCCTACCGGATAGCCATTGGGAGAATCTCCGATA